AAAAAATTTTTCAGTGAGTTTCCTAGAATTCTTTCACTGCTTTTTTAATTCGCGAGAATTAACCAAACATCCTTGGTTCAGCTCTACTTGACCGCTTTTCAATTCAGAGGGTGTGACAAGTCACGGTAGTGCGTAGGTCGCGGTGAAAATTGTCATCGTAGAAAAACAAGAAATATTATATAATTAATATATATAAATGTTTCCACACTTTGAAACATAAAAGACAAAAATCTCGTTGCGTATTGAGGTTAATCGGAGGGCGCGCATTTCACTCGAACTCCACACGAATAAAAAAAAGGGAGGGGTTGACTGACGTACGGGCGTCGCGACGGACTCCCGACTACGTCAGTCGGGATTCGCGACTCCAACGTGCGAGCCGTGTTTTTCTTCAATTATCGAGTTCTTCTTCATATTCGTAACATTGAGATCAAATATTTTTTTTACAAGGAAATAAACAGAAAAAAGTTGAAGAGTGAACCATTGGAGAGTTTTGCTTTTCCGGGTTCATTCGACCCCGGAGAGGCCCTCATTGAGGCCATGTTCCACCCCTGATATTTGGGATTATTCAGTGCCATTTTGTACTCCATGGTTTTATCCTCAAATATTGTATAGTAATTTTGATACTGAGTGATATAACATCCACAATTTTGTGAATAAAATAGAATAACGAATAATCGGTAAAATTCCCTCATCAAGTTTCTGTGTCGAATTTTTTGCGGATGTTGAGTGCATGGTTAAGAAAATTGAATATGAATAGAGGAGGGTCATTACAGTTTGTGTTGGAGAGGTCGGAAGGCGTGCGTGCGTGAATGCGCGCGCGCCGTCGTACCGACCGTCATATACAGGGTGGCGAAGGCCTAGGGAATTTTTGCGCGCAGTGAACGTTCCAGGAAATTTTGAGATTTACAACGGTATAATTATGTATAAAGATACATATAGACAGTGTTAAACACGAAGATTGCCACATCGCGACAAACGGATTCAATAAAATCCCCAGTTACAGTATTTTTGTCTACAACTTAATTAAACGTAAATAATCCTTGAACATACGGAGTCTCGTGGGGTGTGGGGATAGCTTCTTGATATCGATTGCAGGAGTTTACTGAGAAGAGCCCCGAGAAACCTCGTGGGTTCAAAGACGACGATAATACGTTTAAAGAAAATGAACGAAAGAAGAAAATTATTCAATCCATCAGAGGATAATATAAATAATCATCGGAGTTACTGCAATTCCTCTAATGATATTGAGGGGAAAAACTCAAGTATCGGTGATATGAAGTAGAACTACCTGTGTGCAGAAGTGCCTCCTTCGCGACTAAGAAATAATAAATAACATTCGATTCAGTAAAAAAAAACTAAAATAAAACTAAAATTAAACATTCAACTAGTTGATAAACCAAAAATCATTTTTTTAAAGAAATAATTAACAGAATTGAAAGAATTGAAAGAAACCCATGATGAAAAACAAGTCTTCCATATACTGATTCAAGCAGTACGATTATTTTCATTAACAAATTGGGTTCAGTGGATAGCGAACAAAAAATAGCATTAACATTTCCGGAGAAGAGAAGCATGGTCTCGAGGTACGGTGTCGCGAAGGAGGGCGCCGTGGGTGTAGCAGTTGGGGTTGGACCGATGCACTGTCTACTACCTCACTGTGGTGGACCGCATCATCACCTGTCTACACATCATCCCCACAATCCAAATCACAATCATGTACACACGCACAATCATCAACCACCGTCCTCACAGCCACCACCGAGTCCTCATGGTCCACACATTGGACAGATGAATCATGGCCAACATCAGTTAACGATTAATATTGGACAACATCATCCTCAGCAGCAACAACAGCAATTGCAGGGACAGCATCAGCAGCCACCACCGCAGTATCGTATCGTCACTACAAATGCTCGTAAGCTAAACATCAAGAAAACAAAATTGAATAAGAAATGAATGATTTAATTTAAAAAAAAAGATAATCGAAATACACTTTAAAACTTCCCCTCTATTCATTGTCTCTCCTATCTTGTTTTATTCCGAATAATTTCTCGAGTCGATTTACGTATAGACTAGGATTTGGAAATTATGACTTTCTAAATGCCTGGGAGAAATTTAGGGCTAGACATTTCATTTACATTAAAGTCCGCACACCCCGACCCCTTCACGGAGAGAAATGTTCAGTAAATATTACGGAACTCATAATTCACTCGCCGATTACGGAATTGACTTAGAAAATTTAAGTGACGGTATCGTAACTTTTTACAGGAGATTCAGATAAAAATGACGGAACGCTCCGGAAAAATTCCGTGACAGTTCCGTAAAATTTCCTACAACCACATTTTGCTCCGGAATTACGGAAAAGATACGTAATTTTTATTGAATATTTCTCTCCGTGTTCTAGTCCACACGCCAATGCAGGTTCTGTATCGGTGATGGGGTTCCCGAGGTAACTTGGGTTAATTCTATGTTTTTTCGGCCGCTGATTCCGAATTTGTAGGTTATCCGGCCGAAAAGTTAGCGGTTTAATTGTTATTAATAGTTTAATTGTTTAAAACGCCGTATCTCGCAACCTATGGCAGATACGAAAAAAACGTCGAATTCAATAATGTTCCTTTATCTATTTGCAATAACTTTTGTTTCCTGCAAAATTTTGATTCACTCATTAGTTGACGAGATATACGCGACGAAAGAGTTACGCTGCCGATCGCTTCGATCACAAATTCGGAATCAGCGGCCAAAAAAACAGAATTAACCCAAGTTACTTCAGGGACCCCATCACCGATACAGAACCTGCATTGGCGTATGGACTATTCATTCCCCGCGTGCCGTTCCTCTTCTATTCACAAATCGAAGGTCGAAGACGTTCCGCAACAGCTCCACGTGTAGTGATTCCTGGCACTTGATACAGGTGAATATTCGATAACGTTTTCTGATCTTTACCCAATGAGTTATTCTACTGAAAATATCAACGGCAATCTGAGGTTCTCAGGTTTAAGGAACCAGTGAGGGGGGGTAAGAAATGAGTGAAAGATGAATTAAAAACCACGTGACAAAGTGAACTGTTTCCAATAAGTCGATCATCTAATAGGTTTGAGCAAAAAATGAAATATGGCAAGCTAAAATAACCGGGCGTTGGTGAAGCTCAGAAAAATAGTGGAATGCACGAAAATTACACTGAGAGGTTTCGTTTTTCCGTGACCGTATCGTCTTAGAATTTCACTCTGACTTAATTTTAATATTGTCAAAAAATGCTTTATTCCTAAAAAATTGAATCTTTCTTCAATTACTTGGGGTTTAAATTAAAATTAGAAGGTAGCCCGCTCGGGAGTTATACTTGCCGGAAATAGATTAGGAAACTGTGTTTAGTAGATGGGTTACGGGGGCAATCCCTCGAGCTATTGACCATTTTTTATTTTCATGGATAAGGTGATTTTTTTATTTCATACGCATGCAAATCATTTCTAATTATTTTCCTTCTTTCTTTTTTAAGGAACGTTAAAAAAATTGAATGGAATTTAGTCGAGCGTTCCTCCAATATAGGTCGATCGATGAAATGCACCTCCCTTTCCAACACAATCCTTTGGAAAGTCTCCCGTTTGGTTTGTTCAATTGTTACGTCGATACATACAAGGCCTAGCGCTACGTTTCTTTTACTCGTTAAAATTTCAATGGTTTCATGGGTCTTTGAAATTTGCATAGGGAGAGGGGGCAATTCGGTTGAAAGAGATGGAATTTCTTGAGAAAGTATAGTGTTACATCATAAATGTCATTTTACTTTTCATTTTGCGTCGTATGAAAGTTATTAACATTAGTATCACAAAAATGGGATTTCCTCATTCTAAACATGTTTAACAGGTTTGGAAACGGAGTCCTTATTTCACTCAATTATACATCGTCAGAATATCAAAGTGTTTACAATCTTTTCCGAGTTCGCCCTCTGTCAATTCCCAAATGCACTCGATTTGTTCTGACTTGCCGCCAGATGGCGTTGAGCACGATTGTACCCAGCCCACATGTGTTAAATATGGCTACCTGCAAGCCTCAGTCATATCGTTCAACATTTCATTGCGAAAATCCATAAATCGCTGGAAAAATAGCCCAGTTATCAGTGAAACATAAAACTTAATAATCTGCTATTATTATCAATGTTCACCTGTCAACGATGGTGAAGAGAAAATAATCACCTCACGATCTATTGTATGAGTTTTGCCCCGTATCGAGTGCGCGCCAATCCATTCTTTTGGTTATAATACTTGAATATAAGTGCATATAAAAGGATAAAAAAAAAGGTGGGAAGAAAATGGTTGAACACTTTTAGTTCGAATGGAAACAGGAGAATAGATTGAGATAAGGAGTGAGCACGTGAGAATAGTATTCATTGACAAGTTGGCAGAATGCAATGATTACGTTATTTTCATTTCATTAAGTTACTCAACCGACACCATTTTGCTTATTAGTACCATTTAACAAATGTCTCGATCAACAAATTTCTCAGTCATACAGTACTGCATTACATTGTTAGAGAACCCAGTGCCAAGTCATAGTATGTGCTGATGCGTTTTACTTGTGAAATCGTGTATTTTTTTCTCGGTTCTTTACCTTCCACTTTATTCTTTAGTCGGAATGCATACATTGGAATGTTGAAAAGTACAAATTTCTGGGGCTTCTTTTGGCGTCACTCGACATTGGTCCAACATTTTGGAGAAGAGACATTCATTGATGTTCATACTTTTTCGCGATTCACGAGCACAAAAAATTAATAAGAGCGAGTTGATTTATATATTTTTTTAATACCTGGAATAGCCACTTGGGAATAATGTGCAGTTATAATGATCATGTGTATTGCCGTGGCAATCACCACCATATTGCACATTATTTGGGGAATACCAATAGTGTATTCCACGTTGGAAATATGAAAAAATTCAATTTATCAATTAAATTAGTTCAAGTAGTTGAATAAATTTTCATTTTTTATTTCTTTATCTTTCAATTTCAAGGATCAGAGTTTCATGTACCTGGACAGAACTACGGTGCCCAACCAGGGGCCCAGGTGGGTGGTGGTGGGGGTAGTATAGGTGTACCTGGTGGTAGAGGTCCTTCACTGGGTGGAATTCCTCAAATTGGTCAAAGTACACCTGGTATACAGTCTAGTGGACAACAACAGCCCCCACAGCCACCGACACCCGGTGTACAACAACAGCAGCCGCAAGGACCTGCACAAACTACAACACCACCGGTTCATACACCATCTCCACAAGACATGAGTAAACAAGGCCATTTGCAGGCGCAACCTCCCTCGTTGCAACAACAGTTCGTGCCCAATCAGACAAGGCCTGTGACACAGGTAAATTTTTCAGTTCCTTAGATTATTTAATATCAACATCCCTTTTCGATCGAGTCATATGTTTGTACAACTGTTCGACAAGTAACTCGAACATGAAAAATTATTAATTGCCCTTCAGAGACTTTGGAAAATTTGAATTATGTGAGTGAATATCTGAAGATTTGAATTTTAAATGAGTAATACTAAAAGTCTTGGAATATGTTTTGTACAAATTGAAATAATCAGTTTGTTGCATCGGACCACTTGTTATAATCATAATCGAATATTAATTTCAAAACTCAATGACAAGAGAAAAGAATATCAATTTAAAATTTGTCAACTTATTATTCTGGTGGTATCTCTCATGACTTTTATTCCTAGACTTTCTACCAAATGGGACCGAGACAACCACAAACTAGAAATATTCATCGTGGGAATCAGAGTGGTACTCCACATGTTGTTGCAATACCCAATGTCGCTACAAGCACTGGACAACCCCCAGCCATATATCAACCAAACATCGCGGTACCCGGTACACCTCCGTTGTACGTCTCTGGACAGGTTTCTAACCTTCCACCAGCGCCTATGTATTCTATGAACAACCATATACAGCCGCTTCTTGCCGTAAGTAATTATCATTAAATTTCAATTAATTTTGCTTAAGGGTATTATGGTGGGGTCCATAGCTGGAAAAAAAGCAGAGAATTCAATGAAAATTGCTGAACAGATTATTCGATCCGTTTGAAAGCCGTGTACGAAATGTCAAGACCCCTACTTAAACAATAATAATGCGAATAATTTTTGAAGTTGCTACTTATACACGCAGTTGAATGGGGCATCGGTAATTTTTGTGAATTGCCTACATTATCGATAGATCAATAACGCAGGAAAAGCACTAAAATTACCGATGCCTCATTCAACCGCGTGTATAAGTAGCAACTTCAAAAATTATTCCCATTATTATTGTTTAAGTAGAGGTCTTGACATTTTGCACATGGTTTTCAAATGGAACGAATAATCTGTTCAGCAATATTCATTGAGTCCTCTGCTTTTTTTTCCAGCTATGGACCCCGCCATAATACCCTTAATAATACCTTCTTTCATCTTCTATTGACTTTTTCTCCATTCTCTATTCAATTCATTCAAAATTCATTTTTGTTATGAACTTCTTTTTCACGTTCAATTTTCAGTATCCTTCACAGCAGAGGCATCCACCTCATCAATCGCCACCATTCTTCCCGGGGTATCCACCTCATGCGATTTTACCTCAAAATGTTTATGGTGGATATGCTACAGGACATCAGCAGTGGAGTAAGAAATCATCAATTGTCTATTTTAGTTGAATACATGTTAAATCGTCGATGCATGTTTACTTTGGAATTGCATAGAATATCAGTTTGAAAGGAATTAACTCCTCACGCACGAGGCCTTTCTGTTACCAAACGTATCGTGTGCTCAATACAACTCGAATTTGATTATTTCTAATGAATGGAAAATTATGAAACCGGTATCTAATCGAAACTACAGTATTCCTGTTTCCAATTTTGTTTGTCTGATCAAGTTCTTCTTTATAGATTTGAAAATAATAAAGGGTCTAGCGGAATAAATATGATGAAAATACCCTCAACGAATTTTTAATCGTTAATTTTTTCAGTTGTTTATCATGATAAAATATGCCAGCGTGCAAATTTTCAGATTTTTATTTGCATTCCTGCCAGTTTTATCGCAAAAAAAACATGTTTTTCTAATGTCATGTTTTTTAGCCGCCAAAAAGAGTTCAAAAAATCTTGAAAAAATTCTGAAAAATCAGATACGTCAATATGACATCTGACATGTTTTTATTCATTTTTTTACAATAATTTCTATTAAAAGAAAAGATTTACTTTTCAAAAATTCATTTTAACATGATTAGATGAAGATACAACTTTGAAAAAAATCATCACTTTTTATTTCATGTTTTCCTATTGAATAACGCGAAGAAAACTTTCATTTTTTGCCTGCACCATGCTGAAAAAAAATAAAATTTACGAATTTTGTGATTTCTTTTTTTACTAGAAATCCACTTATAAATCATTCGTTGTCCTTCGTTAATAAATTATAATATGTTCAATAGTTATTTTACATATTATGCTAGTATATTGAATTAATATTTGTTCATAGATTTTATTCATTTCCCGTTTTCTTTCTGAAAAAATAAAATAAAATCACCGTAATAATCACTTATTGTAGGATTTTAGTAAAAGTCGAGGGAGAGAATTCTTTTTTTGGAGTTTCAATAACTTCACCCTACTTGACGAAGGGATTTGGAGTCTCTATATTACAAAAATCCAAATCGACTTCTGATGAAGACAATTTGGTACTTGAAGTTAAGACTCCAAAATTAAGGGTCAGAAACTAAGGGTCATAAGGGTAAAAATAAGGGTCAGGAGGGTTACAATGAAGGTCAGAATAAGGGTCACGAGGGTTAGGTTACAGGTCATGGGGGTCATATATAAGTCGTATCGGGTTTGGCGAGCAGGGGGCGTAGCCTCTTAGTATACAATAACAATAATCAATTAATATACATGAATCGATAAATGTAATTTTCCAAGAGATTTATAACTGAAAATTTAAGATTCATTCTCCGTGAAATGATAGAATAATGGCAACAATCTTAAAAAAATCAAATTTGTGGGCAAATATTGAGTAATCATATTAGTATAATATGTAAAATAACTATTAGAAGTGTTAGAATTTATTAACGAGACCCACCGAATGATTTATAAGTGGATTTCTAGTAAAAAAAAGCCCAAGAGCTTCAAAATTATCAGGTATTTCCCGATATCATCGTTGCAAACAAATGAGGGTGTCAAGTTTTACAGGTTAAAACTGCAAAACTTGGCAGGATGATTTGTTTGCAGGGGAGCTTGAGGGAAATACCCGATTAATTTTGAATCTCGAGGGGTATTTGTCGGATTATTTTTCCCAATCGGATAGTAGCCAACCAGAGTGCAGTGGACAACATCAGGCGGTGAATTAGGGGAAAATTTGAACAAATTATGTTAATAGAATAACCCGATTTCCATAGACTGTCAAATATAAGATTCTATCTGAAATGAGCCGAAAAAATGGAGAGCTACTGCAAAATATTCAGGTAAAAAAAAAAGAGGAACTAGTGCGAAATATTCAAAAGCTAGGAAGAAATATCCGAAATAAAACTGTCGGGTAGCCTCAAATACTGCGCTCTGATTGGTCGAAATCCGATCGGGAAAAATAATCAATTTTTTTTTCAATATGGCGCAGGCAAAAAATAGAAATTTTCTTCGTGTTATTCTATAGACGAAAAAAATGAAATGAACGGTGATGATTTTTTTCAAAGCTGTATCTTTAGCTAATCATGTTAATGGTATATTATGTCATTAGGCGGTAAAAATATTATCTGGCGAATGTGGCTTTATAATCCGAGCCGAAGGCGAGGATTATACTCACATTTGTCAGATAATGCTTTTATCGCCGTATGATATACGCTATTTTATGTCGTTGGGCCCAAAGACCGTGATCTAACCGAGCAAAGCGAGGTTAGAATCGCAGTTTATCGGGCCTAATGACATAAAATGAATTTTTGAAGAGTGAATCTTTTTTTTTTTAATATAAATTATTGTTAAAAAAATAATGAATCAAAAAATATCACATAAATGTTGATGTTTCTGATTTTTCATAATTTTTTCAGATTTTTAGAACACTTTTTGACGGCTGAAAAAAGTGAAATTAGAAAAAGATTTTTTTTGCGATAAAACTGGCAGGGATGCAAATAAAAATCTGAAAATTTACATGTTGGCATATTTTATCATAAGAAAAACAACAAGAAAAATTGGCGATTCAAAATTTGTTGGGGGTATTTTTACCATACTTATTCGGCTAAACCCTTTTAAAAACAAGTATTCACATTCGCATGGGGCGATATCATGCATCGACCCCGCACGTGAGGGGTTAATCAAGTCATTTGATAGCAACATCATTGATAAATATCTCTATATTAGACTGAGTGCTCATAGATTCTTGCAATATGTCTCAGTCTTCATCAATTAGTACATTTCTCGGAGAAGAAAAAAAAATTACGAACGCCGTTGGTCGCGCCGTAAGCGCCGCGCCGCACCAGCATAAATCGACATAATGATAACTTTAAAAGATCTAGGAAAAATCTGAAAAAAATTACGAGAGATCTAGATCGTATACTTCAAGAAGTCCGGTGAGATTTTTTCATGTCCGGCGTTATCCCTAGTTATATATTCCAACGCAAAGTTGCCATGTTTTTCTGAAAATTCGCCGTATACATGGTACACGGCCCAGAGTTTCGACGTATGTAAACTTGGCAGTAAAAAATAGCGGAATCCAATTTTGACTATTGGATAATTTAAAGCTCATTTAGAGGAATTTAAAGCTGTTTAGAAAAAATTTCCTGCTAATTCCATTTTTGAAAAAAACGTTCCTGCCAATTTTTTTGCAAGTTAGCCGGAAAAAACCATAAAAATGAACCAAATTAAATTTTTAATATCGAATAATTTAAAGCTCATTTAAAGCTATTTTGAAAAAATTTCCTGCTAATTTCATTTAAAAAAAAAAAAGTGTTCCTGCTAACTTTTTTGCAAGTTGGTCGGAAAAATCCGTAAAAATGAGATAAATTAAATTTTCCATATTGGATAATTTAAAGCTCATTAAGAGCTACTCAAAGCTATTTTGAAAAATTTCCTGCTAATTTCATTTTTGAAAAAAAACGTGTTCCTGCTAACTTCCTTGCAAGTTAGCAGAAAAAATCCGTAAAAATGAACTAAATTAAATTTTCGATATCAGATATTTTAAAGCTCATTAAGAGCTAATTTTCTACGTTTTGAAAAATTTTCCTGCTCATGTATTTTTTAGAAAACGGGTGTCGAGGCTACCTTTTCCGCAAGTCGGCAAAGAAATGGAATAAAAATGAACAAAATCCAATTTTTACTATCGGATTATTTTTACTATCGGAAGCTCATTAAAAGCTAATTTCCCACTGTTGGAAATTTTTTTCTGCTAATAACAGTGTGACGTTTGGAGTTTTACCCGTAGGTAAAACTCAGGTGAATGTTTGTCCTTTCCGTCCAGCTATTACTTTCAGTGCGTGGAATCTCCTTTTCACGTATTCCTGCACTGTAATCCTTTGGTATGGTCACTTAATCCTCAGCTAACTTCCGCGGTGAGTCCATGGGGGATTCGCTCATTCGTAGGGATGTTAGGACAGGCATCGGGGATATTACTTGTGAAGTTCTAAATAAACACTCGCGTATTTAGTCGCTAAAAGTATGGTATATTATTTGTTGTTTGGTTCAAATACACGACTCGGTTTATTATGGTTTGGTATAACGCGTTATTACGGCTCGACTAGGGACTTCGACTCGATTTGTTGGCTGAAGGCCTGAGCTAGAGGTCTGCTCGACTCTGCTCCTGATCGTACTCTGGTTCTTCCTGAGTCCTCAAAGCTTGGCAAAGCCCCAGTTTGCTGAGCTAAGCAGTCTCACGGTTTTCTTCACTAACACTGTCTCGTGTCATCACTGACAGAGACTCAAACAGTCAACCAGTTCATCATTCTGAACTGGACTCCTGAAAAACCGTGGCACTGCTTACCACGGTGTCCAAATGACACCGTGGGATTGCTGACCAGTGTCTGGATGACAGGAAAGAGAAATCATATTTCTCGTTCCCACCATCCAGCATTATAATATTATATTATCTTATTGCTAACTAAATCGACGTATTGATCGATCTCAATACGTCACAACAGTTTTGGAAAAAAAAATAAAGAATAAAAAAATCTAAATTTTTTTTGTTTCCCTTTTTTTTTCATCATAAAAGAAGATGAGGATACCTGTCGCAATTAGTGTCGGCTAATTACATTTTGAAAAGAAAAAAGAAGGTTTAATACTAACTTTTGGGTGAGTTAACAGGAAAATCCTTAAAAATTAACAGAATTGAATTTTCTATATCGGATATTTTAAAGCTCACTAAGAGCTAATTTTCTACGTTTTAAAGAATTTTCCTGAACATCTATTTTTTAGGAAACCAGTGTTGAGGCTACCTTTCCTGACATATGTTAACCTAGCAGGCAAAATTAGCAGAATCGAATTTTCAATATTGGACAATCTGCAGCTTATTATGAGCTAATTTTATATGCCTTCAAAAAATTTTTTGCTAATACCGTTTTTGAAAAAAACAACGTGTCTCTGCTAGCTTTTTTGTAAGTTAGCAGAAAAATTATTTCAAAAATCAAGAGAATTTGATTTTCGATATCGGATAATTTAAAG